TTTATTGGTACAAAAAAATGGGGGGAAATGGCCCAGACTAACTGACCCCATCATGGACCTTGGGCATAAGAACTTGGTGACAGCCGAGGAGATAAGGAGAAAGGCTATAATCTTTACATTGCAGTTCAGTGCAATATTAGTTTTCTGGGATTTGGTCGGGGTGTGGAGGGGAGAAAGATGAGGCTGGTTTTTAATGTAGGAATAGGGGAAACAAAACCTAAGGGCATTGATGCTTAATTTCATTTTATAGACTTCGTGAAAGTGTTGTAAAGTCGTCAGCTTCTAACAATTTTTAAATTTTTATTATACAAGATCCATTTTATCTCATTGTGGAGGTCATCACCATAGCAAATTATGCATATTTAAGCAAATTATGCCCAATTCTCCCCTCTCCCAAACAGCCAGGTCCAAACCCTAAGAAATCTAGCAGAAGAGTAGCACTCCCTTCAGAATTTCCTTACCGTCAAATTTCTAGAGATGCAAAACATTCACTATTGCTTTGGTCACAGAGGTATATTTTTAATGATTTGATATTTCTTTGCATTTGACTTATTTCCTGAGGAAGTAGAAGTAAAAGTAAATGAAGAAGTCAAAAGACATCTAGATTAGCTTTTTGGAAGTTTGCACCTTGATAAAAAGTAGATGATAAAGCAAAGAAACCTGCATATGGTGGGATCTCTTCTGATAATTAGCCTCAATGTAATTATCCTCATAGTATATTAAGGTCAGAAGGTTGGCATCAATCAACACCAAATATACCAATTTGACAATAGCCACATAATAAGGGGAGATTCGGACCTTGGTATATCACACTGAGCAAGAGATAATCTTGCAGATTTTAGAATTATTAAATATGGGTCTAGATTAAGATTGATATATTATGTCCTTTGTAGAGCTGGCCAGCTAAATGACCATAAGGCAAGGACCCTTGAGAGAGGTCAGGCTTGCTGTGCAAACTTGGATTTAAAGAAAGCGGTAGAAGCTTATTTGGTATTTTTTTAATTAGATATTATTTTTAAACCTAAAATAGTAAGCAAGAGTGAAAGCTAGGGAAGCAGGAGAGGAGGGGAAGGAATTGTATAACCTTTTTTGCATAATACACTAAAGTTAGAGACATAAAGAGACCCAACATAGTAATCAGAGAATGACAGGTCAGCTATATTTAATAGGTTGCTGTAATTTTTCTTTCTGATTTACCACTGAATAAATATTTCCTATAGATGACAAAACAAAAAAGAAAGTACAGAGATTTGTGGTTTGTGCTTACTTTTGAAAACACAATTGCAGGGGCGCCTGGGTGGCTCAGTCGGTTAAGTGTCCGACTTCAGCTCAGGTCACGATCTCGCGGTCCGTGAGTTCGAGCCCCGCGTCAGGCACTGGGCTGATGGCTCAGAGTCTGGAGCCTGCTTCCGATTCTGTGTCTCCCTCTCTCTCTGCCCCTCTCCCATTCATGCTCTGTTTCTCTCTGTCCCCAAAATAAATAAACATTAAAAAAAAAAAAGAAAACACAATTGCAAAGCCTTGTGTGTGTGTGTGTGTGTGTGTGTGTGTGTGCACGCATATGTATGTATTATTTTCACCTTGCCTGCAAGCAATACCTGGATCTCCTCTCTCTCTCTCTCTCTCTCTCTATATATATATATATATATGTACACACATATATATATATATATATAGGCATATAAGGAGAAAAAATTAAGATGTATATATATATGTATATATACATGTACATGTATATATGTATATGTATATATGCATGTATATATACATATGTATATATATATGTATACATATATATATATACATACTATATACATATATACATCTTAATTATTTCTCCTTGTATTCCCATGTCACTCAGTCCTTGGGACTGGAAACTATTTCTTCATCTCCAAATCTGGCACGTCTTTCACTATGATAGTCCCCTTTGCCTTCTGTGCCCAGTATGGTAATGACACTCCTCATGGCTGTGGCCTTGGTATTTGACACTGCCATGTGTAGTCCTAATCTATATTGGGGTCAGGAGTAGACAGGCCGGCAGGATAGTAGTGGCAGAGGTGATCTGAAATAGCACATGATCCAAAAACTATATTTGAATTACATTAGGTTTATATTTAAATATAACTGTCAGCTTTCCCAGTCTTCCACCACCCAGACCAAGCCTGTCTTCCACACTCAGTCCTGAGAACTTTCGTACTTTACAAGAACCTTAGCCCCCTGTTTTGAAGCAGTTTTACCTTCTAGTCCACAAATATTGAAACATTCAGCATGTCTTCCATTATGTATTTCAATCTATTTTCTCAGTCTCCCCACCGGCCCCCGCCACTTTCTAGAGCAGTTTGTATTACTGCACAAGAATAATGCACAAGAATCATTTGGGGGGATCTTGGGACCCATCCCCAGAAATTCTGATTTCATAATTCGATGGTAGGGATAAGGAATCTATATTTTAAACATGATTCCCCAAGTCTATACAGTCCATAGTTTGAGAAACATTGGTCTTGAGGAAGAGATTTTCCATTCTAAATGTTCCATTTGGATTGTGAAGCCCATTCGTCTATCTCTGTAACACTCTCTCTGGCACTTGCTGTGCTACATATGTCATTTTCAGGTTTTCTCTTCATAAACTTTTCATAAAATCTCTACTTCTAATATTTAAAACAAAAGAAGAAAAGTCTTTGCTAGTCCTTCTAGGTGCTGTGCAACCTTTTCCCTTTCTTTAGCTGTCTAATGGCTTGTGTTCCCTAGTTTGTTTTTTTTTTACTACCCTGAATCTAAAGCTCTTTACTATTCATACTGACCACTTATCAGTTCCCTTTTGTTCTTAATTTCTGCTATATTTGTTTCTGTTGATCAGCCTCTGCTTTTGAGCCTCCTCCATGACCAGTGAACACTGCCTTCTAGTGGCTCTTTTTCTTCCTGTTACCCCCAACCCCCATCCTTAATAAAATTATCCATCAAGGTGCTAATTGTGCCCCCTCTCCTGGAATTCAGACGACAGAAACAACTCCTGAAAATGTGGGGTTTCAGGTAGCAACCAGACCAAGACCTTTAAATTGCCGGAGATATTTTAGATACATAGAAAATATAACAAAGTGTAAAGGATTTGCCTAGTATTTTATGGTTCAAAAATATTTTAAGACTAGAATTTTCATAATTTCTTTTGAGAAAAGCTTTTGCAAACTCTAGGGTTTCTTTTTGAGTGACAATTTTTTAACCAAAAAGAACACCAATGCATATTAAACCATCAAATAATTCCCAAATTATTGTAGCAATCATAGATACAAAGACCTTCTTCTGCTGGTTCCCTTTTCTCAGAGTGGCAGGGCAGAGAAGAAGACCAAGTAATTATGGAGATCCCTCTGATGTTGACTTTTTAATGTCATAGATACCAATAAAAAGGTTCTCTTTCAATGTTTACTTCCTCGGGAGCCTGGAATAGACTTTCTGTACCATTCAGTGGAAAATCTAATATAAGAAATTGAGTAATGGTACCCTACTAATTAGCATAGTTTCTCACCTCTTTTTTCCCCCAGTTTGATAATTATTTAGTCTTGAAAGATACTATAGTGGACATGGGAAACAGAAACATTACATGAAATTAAGTAAAAAAGTACTCTTAGTATAGATGAATACTAAGTTGAGCTGCTTTTAAGAACAGAAGAAAGAGTTTTATAACATTCTTTTTAAAAATATGAGCATGAGGGGGAGCCTGGGTGGCTCAGCTGGTTAATCTTCAGAGTTCGGCTCAGGTCATGATCTCGTGGTTTCGCAGTTTGTGAATTGGAGCCCCACATTGGGCTCTGTGCTGACAGCTCAGAGCCTGGAGACTGCTTCAGATTCTGTGTCTCCCTCTCCCTCTGCCTCTCCCCCACTTGTGCTCTCTCTCTCTCTCTCAAAAATAAACATTAAAAATTTTTTTTAAATATGAGCATGAGGAGAATTAAAATGTTTTGGTCATTTATGAGCAGAAAATATTTCCAAACAACATGAATACAGATAAAATAGGACCCCCAAGAATTCTACAGGTATTTTATTATACCAATCCATTTCTTTGCTTTTTTTGAATAATTATATACCTGAGTTCAAATATGAGTATAAATAATACATTTATTATGCTTTTGAAGGCTAGAAAAAAGCTTAAAGATATTTAGGACTTTTGTGCTCAAAGATTCAGAAGTAAAGTTTTTCAGGTAATACAGTAATTCTCTAATATGTGGTATTTTTCCAGCTAAAATGTATCTTTAACTATAACAAAGAATGGATTACCAAGAGGAAACAACTAACACATTTGATTCTTTTGACAGATGGCCAGAGGTTGTTCCTCCAGAATTAATAATGTCTAATATAAATCCCTCAGTAATATCCTTCAGAGAAATATGCTAATGTGATGAAGTCTTTAAGCCAAACCTTCACAACTCCTTTGTTGGCTATCTTATTTTCCCATTAAACTTTCAATGAGTTATAACAACAATGACATGCTGAATATCAAGGCCACTATAACAATCTATTTTTACTTCTCTTAAATTCACAAAATTATCATTTTAAATAACTTATATTTTCATTGAGAGTATGTTACCTGTACTATTTGGTTATAATAATAGAGTGCATATTGTGACATTGATTTTGATGATGACTTTAAGAAAGTAGGCTGCTGTTTTCTCTAACAATGGTCATATCAAATCCAATCAGGATTTTAGAACATTATAACCTGTTTTTTTACTATATAATTTTAAAGCTAGGAAATCACCTAACATAAAACCTTCATTTTATATATGTGAAAACTGAGTCCCAGAAAGAGTAAATATCTTACTCAGAGTCCTATAGTTAATTAACGGCAGAGCTGGGGCTAAAACTCCAGTATCCTGACTCTGTCCAGTTTAATACTTATTGACTGAAGTAATCCTAGAACTGTGTCAATTTCCTATGACACTATTGATAGATTACACAAATATCATGACAGTTTTAAGAAGTCCATTGTTGCAGTCATAATACATTGCATATCCTCAATAATTTTTCCGTTTAGTTCGCATTTGTCACAATGATAAAAATGTTTTCTAACAGGGTTAAGCAAAGTTTGTGTTTATAAAATGTGCTTTCTATATAAAGCATGTGAATGTCTAAGGATTTGCCAGCGATCCTACCACTTTGTGTATAAACTGGTGTCTACTCATACCTCATTTAGGTTTTGCTAATATAGCAAATTAAGCTGCTAGAATAAAAGTTTAAGTAGTGATAAAATTTAAGAAACCATGTTTTGTAGTGAACAAGAAAGGGATATCCATAGTAAAGTTAAGGAAGCAATGTTTAAGAATGAATATGGAAATCTTAGGAATCTGTCCATAAACATGTTTATTTTGTCTTCTATGATGCCACATTCAGGATTAAGACACAGAAAATGTCAGCAGGGAACGTGTGCCATAAAAAGATATTCAGCTGATGCAAAAATTAGCTTAAAAATAAAGAACACCCCCTCAACTGTCTAGTTAAAAAAAAAAAACTGCTCTTAATACCGTGCTCTTATTTTGCTATTCATCTATAGTTTTTAGTCTGATTCTATTGATTTAGCCTTATTCAAGGAGCCATACATATTCTTTCTGGGTGTAGCACTAAAGATTATTTATTTACTTATTTACTTTATTGAAGTATAATTAACATATAGTATTATATTAGTTTCAGATGTGCAATACAATGATTCAACAATTCTATACATTACTCAGTGCTCATTACAATCAATTTTATCTATTTCGCCCATTGGCCTGCCCCCCCCCATACCTCCCCTGTGACAACCATCAGTTTGTTCTCTGTATTTAAGTCTGGTTTTTTGTTTGCCTCTTTTTTTCCTTTGTTGATTTGTTTTGTTTCCAAAGTTGCACATGTGAGTAATATCATATGGTATTTTTCTTTCTCTGACTTATTTCACTTAGGATGATACACTCTGGATTCATTCATGTTGTTGCAAATAGCAAGATCTCATTCTTTTTCATGGCTGAGTAATATACCATTGTATATATACCACATTTTGTGTTATTCATATTTAGAGGTGATATTCTTTCCCAAGAATTACCATTACGTAAATAAACTACCCAGAATTTGTATCCAATTTCTACTCATCGTTGCTGTGTGCTAAACTTTCTGCCTAACACTCAGAAAATGAATATTAAAACAGTATGTCAACTGAAGGTAGATAAATTTATTTCTATTTTAATAATTTCTCTAATTGCATTAGGAATATACTTCAACTAGACATAATTGTATGCATTTTACAGGTTTGTGATAATTCATTATACAACTGCTTAAGATTCATGTCATTGTTTCTTTTCTATAAATGATTATACTCTGTCCAGGAAAATTATGACATGTTTATTCTTTTGGTAAATGACACCATGTTCTTCCCATGGAAATTCTAAGGGAGCAAGGAAGATTGGAAATACAATTCTAGATAGTTGAATACTTGTCTATTTTTCCAAGAAGATTGATATATTTTGTTCTACATTTTTGCAGGATCCAACTGGGATATTCTCACTGGATAAAACCATTGGCCTTGGTACTTATGGCAGGATCTATCTGGTAAGTGGAGTTAGATTCTGTATTAGTTATTCATTTTCTATAACAACAATGATTGCAAGTCAAAGCCCTACACTGCAAAGCAAATAATGACAAAAGCATTTCACTTTGAGAGATGAATCAAATTAAGATAGCTCAGTGATATCTGTGAGAATTATTACAAAATAAATGGATTGAAAATCTACAGTGAATGAACCTACCAACCAAAGGTCTAAAAATTATTAGCATACCATTAATAAAATCAACAGAAAAAATAATTAATTCCAATAAGAAGTACCCAAATAAAAATATCATTTGTTTTATGTTATACATCCATAGCATTCTAATTACTCACATTCAACTTTTAAACTGAATGTTACGAAAACAAACATTTCCACAGCATTCTACATCATACTGTGTGTCTGTGTGTGCACATGTGTGTAACAGAGTTAGCCAAATAATCTAACAAGAAAAACTCTGCATTTATTTAATGATTATTTATCAAGCACAAAGTATGTGCCAGGCACTGTAATAGTCCCTGTAGATAAAGTGATTTAAGGGTTGGGAGAGGGCATTTTTACATATTTTAAGCACACAAATAACTGTTTATTTGCTATTATATTCCTTGTGTGGTTGTTGAGGATGATGTTGATGCATTTTAGGAAAAGGCAGGGACACTGTTAAGGGCTGGCTTGGAGGGGGGCTTACTTTAATGGTCCCATCACCTTGATCAGGTGCCCTTCCCTCACTAACATGGGAAATAGGCATTTTCTCAGTCTTTTATGAAGTTCTGTACAAATGTAGTAGTGTTCCTTTTCCCTAGGCCTTTCCCTCAAAAACCAAATCACTATCACTAGGCTGATCCTTATTGTAGACTGACCACAGGTCCTCTATATATGGATTATATAGAGGTGTCCTGGTATAGGTCCAGTGGAAGAGGCTTCATTGTAGTTCAGACAGAGTTGCCCTCTGCTTGCCAAGCCTGTTACCTTTAGGCTACATCTTCCTAGAAGGAGATTTTTTTAAAAAATCATGTACCCAAGTTGGGATAGGGAAGATCTTTAAAATTTGCACAAAAGTACCTATAGCATTGAAGTTGAGTAGTAGAAGTAGCATTGTGGAAGGTTCCTAAAAGCAGAAGGTACCTTGGTGAATAAAGGGTAAATATTGGTAAATGCCAATAATTGTGACAAAAGTTTTTTCAAGCCATTTTGACTTTACCTATTAATGGAATCAATAAGGTATAGACAGTGATGTGATACAAACACAAGTATGCTGTTTATGTCACTTCACTTGCATCTCAGACTGATTGATTAGTTAACAATTGTGTGATCTAGGTGAATTTTGCCACCATATGCATAGACACATACACCTATATGCGTGGAAGTTCTTCTTCACCTCTTTACAGCATATTTATAATCTTCATGACTCCATACTCATTTTAATTCTTGAAGGGTATGTATGTATGTATGTGTGTGTATGTGTGTAAGTGTGTGTAAGTGTATGCATGTGTTTAAATATGTGTGTATATTTGTTTTTATTTGAAAGAATAAAGCTCTCTCCACCACCAGATTTTGGGAATAAAAACATCAGTCATATAAGGTAAAAGGCAAAGGTAAGGTTAGATAACACACAAAGATGGTTTCTCATCATCAGTCATCAGAACTGTGATGCCATATAAAGAAGAAAAGTTGAGGGTAAAAGGTGAGTTGTACATGGTAATTCCCTCTCTCTTTTTTTTTTTCAAACTATGGTTTATTGAGATGTAGTTTGAATTTGGTAAAATTTGCCCTTTTAAGTATACAATTCTAAGAGTTTGGACTAATACATTTCATCATGTAACTACCACCAGAATCAAGATTTTTCCAACATACATCTTAAAATACACAGTATACCTTTAAGTAATATTCTTCAAGTAACACTTCACTATGTGGTGTCCCAGCTTGTATAGTATGGTTATAGTTGTTACACATTTTTCTTTTTTTTAATTTTTTAATGTTTATTTTTATTTTTGAGAGAGACAGAGCATAAGTGGGGGAAGGACAGAGAGATAGAGGGAGACACAGAATCTGAAACAGGCTCCAGGCTCTGAGCTGTCATCACAGAGCCTGACGCGGAGCTCAAACTCAGGAACTGCAAGATCATGACCTAGGTCAAAGTTGGTCGCTCAGCCAACTGAGGCACCCAGGCGCCCCATATTTTTCTTTTACGTGTGATATAAACCCACAATACTACTTCTCTGTTTCCCATACTCAATACTATTACTTTTTATTTAGTTACCTTTTAGAGCAATTAAAATGAAGAAAATATTTTTATTCATTTGAGCCATTTCTGGAATGTTAATTTCTTTGGAAAAATCCAAGTTTCTATTCTTAAGCATGAAGAATTTTCTATAATGTTTCTTATAGTGTAAGGCTTCTGGTAATGAATTATCTGCCTTTATTTATGTGAAAATCCCTCATTTCTTCATTTTTGAAATATATTTTCATTGGATATAGAATGTTATGTTGACAATTTTTCTTTCAGCAGTTTAACGATAATCAGTCTATTGTCTTCTGGCTTTCATAATTTCTGAAGTGTGTCATTTCTATCTTTGCTTCTTTGTATTTTTATTCTTGCTAATTTTAAGACTTTTCTCTTTAACTTTTTCAGTGGTTTAAATATGAAATGTAGGGTTTTTTTTTTGTTTTGTGTGTAAGCATGTGTGTCTTCAGTGGACTATCATCCTTGGGATTCTCTGAACTTCTTGAACATGTAATTTGATGTATTGTAATTACCCCAATTGTAATTTGGGTGAAATTCCTGACCTTTATCTCTTCAAATATTTTTATTTTGCTTTCTTCTGTTTCTTCTCCTTGTGGAAAACCAATCTTATATTTGTTAGGCCATTTGATATTAACATACAGCTCTTGGATGCTCTATTTTGTTTCTTATGTGTGTTTGTATGTGTACATGTTTATTTGCTCTTATTCTCTTTTCTCTTTGTGTTGCACTTTGGATCAATTTTTTTCCTATCTTCAGTTTCACTTCTTACTTTCTCAACTTTTTTGAATCAACTGATAAGACTATCAAAGGCATTTTTTATTTCTTTTACTGTTTTTCATTTCTAGCATTTTCACTTGACTTTTTTATAGTTGACATCTTTGCTGAAATCTCCATTTGTTCATGCATGTTTTCCATATGTTTCATTAAAACATTTCACATATTAATTATAGTTATGTTAAATTTTCTGTCCACACTTTGAATATCCAAGTCATCTCTAAGGATGGTATATTGATTACTTTGTCTCTTGAGAGTGAACTGTGTTTGTTTGTTTGTTTGTTTGTTTCTCAAAATGTTTGTTTGAATGCCAGACATCATATGTAGAATAGTAGAGATTGAAATAAATAGTAATTATGCCTTGAAATGGGCACACTTGTTCTTCTAAGTCATTAATATGGGAGGTTGAGTCAGTCTTTTAAGATGGGCTATATTTGGGTTATGTTGTTGCTATGGTTACCCTCAGTTCACCTCCAGCTTCAAGTTCTAATGTTACTTTGTGCTTACATGGTGGTAGGGTTCTCAGTATTCCTGTGATACCCTCAGCTTTAGACCTTCCTTGTGCATCTGTGTCTCAAAGAGATTCTCTCTTCATGCTCCTGTGCTTCCCCTAATGTATGCTGGCATTGCTTCTTATTAAGTGTTTGTTAGCCTGACGGTGTGGGACAGGGAGGAATTCTCTGCTTTTTTTAATTCAGCCTCAGCCTTAGACAGATCCTATGCCTCCGGATTATGGGAGTAGGTTTTTCTTTTTTTTCTTTTTCTTTTTTTTTTTTTTTTTTTAGCTATTCTTTCCCTGTGCTAGTCGTAGCATACTTCTTAATGGTCTGAACTCAGGACTAAATCCTGACCAGAAGTAGAGAAATTATTATTATTATTATTTTACATTATCCCCAGCTTCAGTGGGTTTTCATTTATATACCCTGGGGGGAACAGAGTTTGCTGCCCTTCCCCTGAAGTTTAAGGCTCTTATTCCTAAAGGAGAAAGGAGTTGGACATGGTTTCATGTTTTTCCTACTGCAGTGGCTTCTGCTCTCTCCCAGGACAGTACCATACATAAAATCCATGGAGAAAAGCCCGTGAGTGTGTATAAATTCCTCTTATATCTATGGCTCCCGAGGGTATTGTACTCTCATGCTAGCCCATACTTGGCCTTTAACAGTTCATTAAAAATTTAGCTGAATTCTTTATACCACCTTCTGTGGTGACGTTGCATTTCCCCTGCAGCCACAGGTGAGCCAGTGCTAACGTTCCATCTCTCCTTGAATCATCTTTCATCAGACTTCAGGCTAGTTGGTTTCCTTAAGTCTTATCTCTAGGCTCAATAAAAGTTATGATTTTCTAGGATATTCAGCTTTTTCTTCTTGCTAGGGTGGGGGTGGCACTCTTTCCTGCTTTCCACATTCTTATCAGGAGCCAGAAGTCCATGTCAATTCCTTTAACTGAATCTGCATGAAACATCTACCATATGCTAAATCCTGTACATATTTTATATGTACCTATTCAGATCCAGAGATAGAAAAAACTTTTCACCATCATATCTTCAAAGCAGAAACCTCGATGTTACAGAAAGTAGATGATTACACATGGTTTACTTACATTAGACGGATTTTCCTTTGTCACTCATTGATGTGACCTCTTTTTTTCTATCTCAAATTAATTTCCTTCTGAAAAAGTCTTGGGATGGTGTTACTGTAAACTAATACCTCCTTCATGGAATATAATCTTGAGTATGTAGGAAACGCTTTTAAAAGGTTCATACACTTTATGCCAATAATCTCACTTTTGGAAATCAATGATAAACACCAAAAATGTATAAAAAGCATAAATATTTATATTAGCAGAAAGATAGCATATGTAGTGAAAATGGGGCCTGCTTTGGAACCAGGCAGACCTGATTCAGTGCTTGTTTGGCCATTAATTAGCAATGACCTTGAGCAAGTCACTTAACCTCTGAGTACATATTTCCTTATTTATAAAATGGA